GTACTAAGCATGCTGAGGGTGAATTTGGGGCAATAAAGGAAAAAGAGGAGTTTATCAGTTAGAAAATGCAACCAGTATGTGTATGCAGTAAACATTATAATGAAGACTTAGTGCAGTGTCAGAAACTGGGCAAAGGTTTTTGTACAGCAGCTGATCCTACAGTATATCCTAGTTGTGGAAAATGAGCATAATAATGGAACTTAATAATGCTTTCTTTTTGACAGAAATCTTGTGGTTTAAAAGTGAAGATTCTGCTGACAGGTGAAATAAAATCTTGATTCAAAGATAAAGCTTCAGAAGATTTTAATGCTAAAACTTTGTCTTTTTTCCTTGTTCTGCACAGCAAGTTTTACTACTTTGGTCTGTTTGATTATACTTATATTTCTTCTAAGGAAATAAGCAAACTATACAGATCAAGCTGTGTTACAGTACAATGTGTTATTGAAAATAAGCCGCAGCATCCTTCCACAGCCATTGTGTGTCACACTGGGCTGCATCTCCCAATTTATCCCCTCTCTGGTTCAAGAAAGATTCCTATTGATTTCCTATCACCGAGCCAGTGTACAGAGTAAATAGGAAGTGTGAGCCCTATTATTTCTGTCGCTTGGTAAAACATAAGGATAGACCCCCGTGTCTTTATCACGAGGAACCTTTTAGCCACCACATGCCCTTCAACCAAAACACTACGGCTGTAAATTTTCACACACTGTACAGTAATGATGTCCTTTGAGAATGAGTTTGTGTTTAAATTATTGGTGTGGTATTAAATCCTGTGAACTTCAGAACATGATTAATGAGATTACACTTAATGTGGGAAAACACCCGTAAACGCAGGCTGTATTTTCATACAGGCTTAATGTGCTTTCCCTTGCGGGCCACTGCCCAAACCAATAGAGGGAGATTTGCTTTCCCGGGAGAAGCTTCTGTGCACTCTTTCTGAGTATTTGCATGTGCTAAGCAGTAGGAAACAGGTGAGACAAATCCCTTTAGACACCAAATAGCGCAATTACACGTTTCTTCCATATATGTAACAGGTCTGACCAAGAATATGCAACACTTTTGAGGAAGAAAGATGTGTGCAAGACATTCCACTGAATAGTTTTCATATTCCATTGTAGGCTTTTTACATCCTTAATCCGTTCCTGCATGTTTTTTGTTTTTAGCAACCATTCATATTTTTCATCCCTGGACATTTATACTGTAGGTGTTGTGTTGCTATTATTGTAGTCGCCACAATGCTACAGGCTTCAAATAAAAGCCAGAGACAATATTCCTCCTACAATTGAGTTTCTGTGCCCATTGCCTGGCCTACAGCTGCATCCATTTCTGCAGTGTCCCTGAATTCTCTGCATTATCAAGGGGAAGGACGAGCTAATCTGCACTGATTTGAAACAGGACCAAAACACTGGCTTTCCTAATCCCTCATTTTTTTTTATCAGGGGTAGTGAGGAGCATTTTACCCCTGTGGGAGGGAAAGAAAGAGGGAGCTATTTCATGCCTCACTGGTTCCACTGTTTTTATGAAGATTTTTTTCCTACCCCTACTTCCCTACTTCAATCCATAGTGTAACTGAATTTCTAAAGCCTGTTTGCAATAGTCAGACACCTTTTAGAAGTACGAAGGTACTTTTCATAATTAGGGATGTGTAGATGGCTGCCTCCTCCCTCTGCAGTAGTAGTAATTTAACTTTAAGGCAGATAAGGCTCTGTATCTCTGAAAAAGGGAGGTGCAATTTCCTTGCTGTCTTTCATTTTATTCATTTGACAATTGGCAAACACCTATGGCACGCAGGATATAATTTGCTTCCTGAAAATACAGTACGAGCGCTCCAATTTGGATTAATGCACACATCTGTGAGATATAATTCAAATAATTATGTTTCCTTAAATTCTGTCAACCAATTTATGTAATACTTCATTCACTTATGTAGCACGTTTGTTGGAAATTTCCACTTTACATCAGGTGCTCTGGCAGGGCTGTCACATAGAGGCCCTCATACTGATTTTTCTTCAGTGCACATGCAGTTTCTGTTGAGTAGAGTTTGCAGCATTAATAGATACTGAAATGTGAAAAATTTCTATTTAATGTAGACTGAGAACAGTTCATGTGAATGACAGTTTCAGCAGATAAAAGCAATGCATCTATTTAAGTGTATTAGCAGCTGAAACTCACGTTGCGCTGGGTGCTGTTGTTTTTTTGTTTTGGTTCTTTTCTTCTTCTGTTTTTTTTTTTTGTCAGTGCTAGTGCAGTGAGCAGAAACAGAGAAAAAGAGCTCATTGATCTGCTATGATCTAAACACTGCAAAAGGCATGGGGTGTAACAAGCTCAGGAAATTTACAAGGTAAGCCTTGGCAACACAACAGCACGGGTCATCATAAGACTATGAATTACTGGAACACCTCAGTCTCAGAGGACCACTTGAGGTTCTCTCACTGTGAAATAATTGGGTTGCAACAGTGAAACTGCTACACCAGTTAGAGTGCAAAAGGGGGCTTTTGCTTTGTTTTGCTGTTACAAGACCGCAGACACGGCTGTGACTATTAATCAGCAGGTGACACGTGTAGCTGACGGCATAAAATGGGAGATAAGATCAAAAACTGCACCACATGGATGCGAAAATCATCTTATTTGTAATTTTTTAACCCATTTCATTTTGCAGTTGGTAAACACTACTGAAGCTATTTGATGTGAATATTAAACATGTATTTTCAGATTGTTTGAGTCCTTATTGGTTAGAAGTAGTAAGTCATTATTGTTGTGCACACTGGTGTGCAGGCTTGATGAAAATTGTTTCGGTGCTTGTAGAAATAGCAGAAGATGATACACCAACAGAATACAGATGTCTGATTTGCAGGTTACACTTTGTAAACTATGGAACAACTGCTCATATTACATCTGGCAAATTTATTTTATTTTTTTATTTATTTTTCGTTATTTAATCCATAGCCGAACATCTGAATCAGAGTTCTGGAGCCAGAGCACTTAACTTGTCACAGGTCTTTGCGCAACAAGCATTTTCAGTTGCAGCGGACAGATTTAGGTGCCTGTGGCAGGACCTCCGCCGTCTGTGACTGGGGACATCTCACTTTGTTGTCAGAACACCTCTAAACATCTTTCACAGAAACAATTACCATACCATCTGTAGCTTTCTGCCAGCATGTTGCTCACTGTCAGCACGTCGGGTTCTTTTCTCTTTTTTCTTCTCAAATGCTTTCCCACACCCTGAGACTCATGAGGAGTTAGGTCACTTTGGATTAAAATGGATGATTTTAATTACGCGAATTGCCTCTTTATATCAATATTTTCAGTGCTCGTTTTGTCCCGATACCTTTTGATGGACAGGTGAATGGTGGATTGAATTGCCACTAATGTATTTCCTGATTTGAGCATTTGACTGACTTGGAATATTGATGAAAGTCCTTGGATACATTTTACTTATAAAGACCTTATAAAGCTGGTGTAAAAAAGAAGTTTATTTATGTTTGAATACTGATGGTGTGAAGGTAATTCTTAATTGCTGTAATTGATAAAGAATGCTTGATATCCCATAAGAATTTAAAAATACATGAGCCAACACTTACACCAACACAGCCTTTAATTTTAAACTTAAAAACTTTTATTTGACAAACTAAACTTAATAAACACGCTACTTTAATAGAAGGAGAAGTGTCTTCTTTGTGGTTACATCCAAATATCAAATAACCATCAACAGAGTAATACTTATGCTGTCTGCTGTTCTGAAAGATCAAAAGCTGTGAAAAAAGTAGTCTAATTTGCCCATACATGTCTGCAATTGCTTTGCCTGCTATATTAATATCTAACACACAAATATATGTCACTGACACACTAGATGCCACAGAAAGGACAATTAATTAACAATTAAATAACTTCTTTGCACACTTAACTGAAACTTTCATTATAAAATCTTCAGATCCATTTTTCATGCCATATTTGAGATCGCTGCAAAAAGTGCAGCCTTACCTAATGTCCACCCTACTGTTACTCATTTTATATTAAGATTTAAAAATCTAGTTGGTATTGATATGGTGAATAACCTTCAGTAAAAATAATAAATCACACAGCAATAGTACATTCATGTAGTTGTAAAAAGCATGATAATATATTAAGTAATCCAAAGTATTCAGAATACGTTACTATCATTGAGTAACGTAACGGAATACGTTACAAAATACATTTTGGGGCATGTATTCTGTAATCTGTAGTGGAATACATTTTAAAAGTAACCTTCCCAACACTGCCCACTGGCAACCTCTGGTCAAAACAGAAAAATGTTTCTGTTCGGCAAGTAGTTACTGGAGGTTCCTGGTTGTTGCCATGTGAAATCGCCCACAAATTGGGTGCTGCACCAAACACTTCCTTGTGATTGCTTTTACTGCTAACAGATTGCTACGGTTACCCATAGTTTGAATGGAATACACTGACATGTCTGCACACACTCATCCAATCCGGCAAGAGAATGTTTGCTTCCAAAGCAGAAATTTCACACTTTAAAATGTAGTGGTCGCAGTAGTAAGACAGAACAAATGTTATTTCCAGTTTGTATTGCAGTTTTCAATACTTGGCCAGTAGTGTCTGCAGACTAGTCAGTGTTTTTCATGTAAATTTTCCATGTAAATGACCACTTCAGAAATCAGCTACAATGAACAATTTTATGACAACAAGCAACCTCAACTAGGCTCAACTAGGCTAATGGTTGCAGAATACACACTTATATCTTGCAAAAGGTGGTTACTAGGATTTTTCTCCAGGCCTCCACGAATGGGCCTTTAGCAACTGATTTTAAAGCAACCACTGGCAACCACTTGCATTCACTAGGCTGGTTTCTAGGCCTGTGTGATTGGGGCCTTACGTGGAACATGATGGGATAAATGTGACTAGAGTCTCATCTGGATTCACTCAGCACTTAGAATTTTAGTTTACAGAGACATGGAGATCATTTCCTGTAGGGATGTTTATACATTTGTCTTTCTGCACCACAGGTACCTCAGTTATCACAGTAACAGCTACAGATGCCGATGATCCGGTGTACGGAAACAGCGCTAAGCTAGTCTACAGCATACTGGAGGGACAACCATATTTCTCTGTTGACCCCAACTCAGGTAAGTCTAATTTCTTGATAATTGCTGAATTTTAGGCTTAAGCTAAAGTATTAGTTTGATCAAATACTCCATTGCGTTCATGAAGGAAAAGCTGATTAAACCTCAGATTCCAAGTCTTGTGTGAGTTAACAATCATGTGGGTTAAAAAATTCATGCATTTAAAATATTTGCACATGCAAACTAGGGAATTTATTTTATTTTAATTACATTTCCTTTGTTTTTAGGAGCCATCTGTGCAGGATGACATTTAGTTGCATATTAAGTAAAAAAAAAAAAAAAAAAAAGGAAACATGCAATAGTTTATAGGTCTCGTGTAATCAGAGTGATTTTAAATAAGGAGAAAAAAATGGAGGGCACCTTTATGGAGCAGGCAAAGCCCTTTGTGCTGTTATTCATTGTTTGCTTGACAAAGCCTGACGAAGATTTCTGTGAGATCAAAACGTTGCTTCATTAAATTTAATGGGAGCTAATACAATGTGCAAGTCCTTTGTCTGCTTCTAACCAATGGAGAGCATAATGTATTACAAAATGCAATGAATGAACACGGCGTTCATAACGGGACAAAAAGGAAAGAAATAGGTTTTACAGAGAGATGGTGATTCCATCTAAGGATTATTTCATAAGTCTTTTTCTTCTAGACAGGGCCATGCACATCAGGCCAGAACCTTTTAGTATTTAAACACTGTCCTTTTTCATTACCTGCTTTGAGTTAGATAAATGAGCTTACAATGTCATCTCAGGTCAAGTTGTGGTATATCACTATGTGGACAAGTCTCTGGTTAAGTATGTCCAAATGACAGGAATAACTTTACCAAGGTCACGCTTATGCATAAATCTAAGTATTTTAAGGACACACCTGAACTATAGGGACTGCTTTAAGCTTTATGGACCCAACTCTGTATCTGATCAGCTATCAAAAAGATTGAAAGTTTAAACAAGTAACTGAAACATTTTGAAAGTTATCTCACTAAATAGCTGATAATATTTTAGAGGATTTAGGGTTACGCAGCACAAATTACATTAATACTTGACTGGATTTTTTAAGCCCTTTATAGTCACAAGGCTTAATTGTTTTCCCATTTAAAATCACTATAATAAAACACTGATGCATACTATGAGTTGATCCTGAACCCACTGCAAACCGGTGGCTGACTTGAAGTGGATTTTTTTGCAGTAAGGTCCATTCATGATATGAAATACTGTGAGGAAGCTCCCCTTTATTGTGTTATTTAGGCTGTATACTTATCCACTCTAAAATATATTTTAATGGAAGTTTAGTTTAGTTTGGAACCGCTCATTTCTAATGTAGTCGACTTTCTGGTACCTCATATCTATGTGCTGCCAATACTTGGGATTCAAATACAAAATAAATACTAACAGAAGAGCTGAGAGTGATATCCTGCTTTTAACGTGTGCACTGCTAGCAGGTGCTACAGGTTGAACTAATTCCAACAGGTGGAGATGCAACAGCTTCCCCACCTGCTTGCCCACCTGAGGTGATAGCAGTCTGTTGCATTGCATTTATGCATAAAGTGCAAACACCTTCTGTAAGGACTAAAAGAGGATATAGTCTGACACTTAACTATTATAACAAATGCTGTATGTCTGCATTATCATGCAACTTCAACTCTATTCAGCAAAGCTGTAAGGGACAAAATTACATGTCTGTAAAAAGGCGGCCTGACAATGTAATAGTTTGAAAAGTTGTGTAAAAACATCAGTTCTGCAGGTAACTCAGACCATCTGTTTTTTTTATGCTTGTAGGTTATTGCTACATGGGGGTGCTGTTAAATGTGGCTTCCTGGCTCACTCCCTTTTGCTACAATTCCCCTCTACAGCTGTTCATTCATGTACATTTATGTTTCAATATTTATACCATACGCAGTGGCAAACAAGTTTTTTTCCTGGGAGCATTGTAACTGTTCCAAGGGGTGTACAGATTTGATTGAAACATGTAATGGAGCAACTTGATAGAAATGAATGAAACACAAATATAGTCCACACACACTGGTTCATAATATATTGCATAACATATCATTTTGATTTAACAAAAAGACTATCTAAGTATGCAAAAATATTTTCATGAAATAAAAATAAAATATTGTATATTGGCAGTATTAATTAAGGGGGATCTTTATAATAAATTAACTAACCATGGCTTTTGTACTCAGTCACTCGGGATGGCACTGAACAATACTAAATGGACCTTATACATTCATAACCTTTTATAAAAGGAAGGATAGAATTTGCATGAATTTTCAATTCAATTCAATTTCATTTCATTTATACAGCACCAAATCACAACAACATTTCCCTCAAGGTGCTTAATGTTGGAAGGTACAGATCCTACAATATTATAAAGAAAACAGAGAAAACCCCAACAATCATGTGACCCGCTATCAGCAAGTGCTTTGGCCACAGTGGGAATGTATGTGGCTAAAGATACAATTCCAACTTTTTTCAGTGGATAAATCAAGCAATGAGGTTTAACTTGGATAAGTAACGTCAACACATTTGAACAGTGAACGGTACTGTACAGTTCCCCACGAGTTGCGTGGAATTCATTATTGAAACCCAAATGAGATTTATATGAGAGCTTTGCATCAGTGAGTTGCATGTTTTGCTCAGCTGACTTCAAGTCCTAAGTCCTAATGGGGCAGCACTCCTATGATGCTGTGGTCCATAACATCACTGGGTTATGAATTCCAAATAATGGCAATGATAATAATTACTTCTTCCTTTCACAAGGCAGACTCTTCAGCAGCGTCATGGTGCATAAAGTTATCTCAAAACATATTCTAGATTGGATCTTTAATTGCTTTTTCAGCTGACTTTTTAACATGTGTCTGTAAGCAATATGATTAAATAATGGTGAAATTACATTAATAAGAAATGAGATGGAAATTGACGGCTCACAATTTGGAAAACAACACACAATAAACAAGCTTCAAGAAAGGAGGACTCAAAATTTATGTACATAATTAGAATGAACTTTCATAATTTCAACACATAAAAACCGGGCTTGTCCTCACTGGTATAGGTGTCGTAATCTCGAAGCCTCTACAGCTGGACCTTGGGCTGTCGAGAAGGGGCTGAATGGACAGTTTAAGGATTAACATTCATGCTTTGTGTGATCGCTGTGCACATGCAGATGGCTCATTCAAGTGAGCCAGATGTTTTAATGAATGTTAATGAAAAATAAAAGGTAAGGGGAAAACAACCATTAGAATGCATTTGACACTTACAACACCACACTGGAAATGAAAAGCATTCAATAAATAAATAAACATCATGCCCCAATTCATCACTTGGTTAATGGTCGATGAAAAAAAAAAAGTTGAAACAAATATCTATGGAAATGAGTGTTTGTCTATCTTCCCTTTTCAGTGATTAGGAATTAATTTGAATAATTAACGATGATCAACAGAGATGACGGTGTTGCTTGTAGCAGGATGACAGAAGAGTGTGTGTGTGTGTGTGTGGAGGAGGAAAAGTAACTTGTTTGTGTAGCTCTTTTTCCTTATTGATTTGTTTGTTTGCATTTCGGATGGTAGGTCTACCTTGTTATTGCACATCAGAGCTCAGAGCTAAAATTAGAGAGAAGTAATTTAAAATCATATTTCTCTATATAATATCTGCCTATTCATTAAAACTGCAATGACTTGGTGATGCTGATGAAATGCTGGTTTTACACACTTCATCTTTGAGGCCATCTAAGGGTGTCCCATGTAAGAGAGAGTATATACATGTAACACAAGAGCTGTGTTGTTGTGTTACTTTTTTAAAAACAATTTCAAATAGATTTTCTGTAATTATTATTTCAAATAACATTTCAAATATTATAACAAGTGTGTCCTTGGTGTAATCATCTATAGCTCTATTCATATCATTCTACTTCACTGATTTAAAAAAAAGAAAAAAAAAGATTCTCGAATGTTTTCAAGCTTATTTTGTTGACGCGACAATACATGCGGTTCACTAAATGTACAAACATGTAGAAGTTTGGTTTTACCCAAGATACTTCCGCAATAATTTTATACATAGCATGTTTGTAACCAGTGTGTAACAAAAATAATAGACGATGGCCAAATCAGAAGACTTCAGGAATGTCAGGAGCCAAGAGGACGCCGCAATGAAAACACAACCATATAAACGATGAAGCAATGCTTAAGTTGTATTAGAAATTTTTGTCCACTGTATTATAACTAACAACAATAACCAAAATAGTGTGCGGACACAGAGACCCCCAACAAATAAAGAAAAGAAAGTTAGACCCGGATCTTTTAAATTGTCAGTTTGATCCAGTTCAGGCCTGTTAGGTGATCTGGGCAGTTTATTGGTGTGAGCTCAATCCGATGATCGATGTATGATTTGCACAGTTTGTCCTACCACAATTCAGGCAACCAGACTGCAAGATTCAGTTCCATATGGGCTGTGGCTTGCCATCCATTATAATGGAAGATCATTCTTCTTCTATGGATTTTCCAGAAGGTCTGTAATTCGAAGCTCTCTGTAGAGTCTCAGCTCCTTGATCTCCAAATCAAAAAACCTGACCTAAGAGTGAGGTCAGAGTTACTCCAAATGAACATTGTACATACTTAACTAACAATTATCCATAAACATTTCTGCTTCAGGGAAAAAGCATGAACAAAATCAGTTTCAAATTTCTGTTTCTAACGTGTTGTACAACTATCAAATTCAAAATGTTTTGCGTTACGTGGCAATGTAGTTATCACCAATCATAAAACTAAAATTAATCAGGTCCATAGATCTAATCCACACTGCTCCTAGCAGAAGAATCAATATACTCTCCTCCTTGTTAATTAACAGCAATGGTGAATAAAAATAACACAACAAAACATTTCAATGCAACAGGTATGCATGCTGTTTTTCTTAACCTACAATAGCTAATAAGTTCTCAGATAACAGTGAACAAACAGGATTGTGAGTTTAGATAGTACCCGCTAGCTACTTGCACAGGACCTTCACCGTTAGCATTTGTTTCCCAAGCGAACAACATCAACATTTCAGCAAGCCAATCAGCGGCTATAACAGTTCAGTTACTCACCAGTGCAAAGCACTGTGTATTCATAAAAACAGCTTCGGGTCTCCAAATCAGCAACCACGTTCCTCTTACAGGTGCAGCTATGGCGGGTGTGGGCTAAGCAGCCTTACTAGCATAACCAAACAGGAACAGTCAAGGCGGGAAAAACAATCCCATTGGTTAAGGACTGACATTGTGCATCCAGGTCAGAAAATAACCTTTGTTAAACAAAAATAAATAAATAACAAAAATAAAGTACATTGAACCCTTCAACACAAAATAACTAAATTTTATACAATTGTTTAATTAGAAAATGAGTTAATTTGAAATGTAAGTTTTATACTTTCAGCTGTTTGTAGAAGCAGGAAAAAAAGTCAAGCAGAATTACTGCTAATAAAACACGAGCAAAAATCAAGACATCATATTTGGTGGACAGAAAAATCCCATTCAAGGTTAGATCATGGGAGTAGTAATCAATTACCCCAGTGTTATCAACTGGTCCAAGTCACATTGGTCTTTCCACCCCACAGTCACTAAATGTATATTTTTCTCGTGAAAATAATAATAACATATTTGAAAAAGACTTCCTTTAATAAATTACTCGAACAACAAGGGCATTGTTTTTTTTTCAGTACAGTCTTACTGAAGAGGTGTCCAACTATTGTCCTTCATTTTCTCTTTTTGTTTAAATCGTCTGTGTCATGTGTGACCTCCAAAAGCACAACTGACCCTGAAATCTCTCTGAGGAAAAATCTATCTGTAGAATAAAATGCAGACACAGACAACATTCTAACCCCTCCCATGTTTCCCATCATAGCCAAGCATATTATCATTGTCTGAGGCAGCTCAGGACCAAGGCAGGGTGTCATGCCAAAGCCTGGCTTTTATGAGGGGTTTTATATTCATTTGATGATCCTGCGGGCCTCTGTTTCCTGAGTGGATTATCCGTATATGCCGGTGCTGAGCCCTTTTTATATTCAGTGCTGCGGCAGAGTCAATAAGGTCCATTCTGCATACAATATTCAAGATTATACAAGACAGACAGCATAATTCACACTCAATCAGAATACAAATGACTTCAGACGGTGGAACAACACATTCAAAAACAAACACAGCTGATTCTCAGTGCTGCGACTGGCTCAGTCGTGGGCACCTTACTACATTCACTCAGACTGTGCTTTTTCTGAGACTAAGCCTGCAGGGAAATCTTTAACCCTGCTGGGTATGGGGTTCATGTTTGGTAAGGTCATGGTCTAAAATAATGCATGTTATAAACTGGGGAATAATGTGAGCATGAAGGTGACTGCATGCCTTTTTTTCCTTGCGCTTCCTTACGTTTACTCACATGAGCATCATTACAATTATGTGCAGAGTATATCAGTCAAATTTATAATTGGGTGAATGTGTTATGAACTGTTTCCACCTCCAGCAACCATAAGAATTGCTCTGCATGGGATGGATCGTGAGATGAGAGAGGATTATCAGGTGGTCATTCAAGCTAAAGACATGGGAGGTCACATGGGTGGTTTGTCTGGAACTACTACTGTCAGCATCACACTACAAGACATCAATGACAATCCACCAAAGTTCTCTAAAAGTAAGTAACTTCATAACCTTACCCATCCCAAATTGAATAAAGAGGGAAAAGAAATTACTGCTGCTCTAAATGAGCATTTCTCTGATTGGTAATAATTAGGAAAAATAAATGTTATTTTGTAAATGTCATCATACATGCTCCTCAGAAATTAATTCCTCTAACTGTGAAATGTCTAATGATGATGCAGTAGTGTAATATGCTTCGGTAATTGTGCTTAATTTGATCAACGTTTCTAGGAACCAAAAAGCTGTGTCTGTTCATCCTCAGGTTTGTATGAGTTTGTGATCCCTGAAGACCTACCATTAGGGAAAGAGGGTGGCAAGGTGAAAGCAAATGACCGCGACATCGGTGAGAATGCCAAGTCGACGTACAGCATCATCGAAGGAGACGACCAAGGCGTGTTTGAGATTATTACGAACGCAACGACACAGGAAGGGATTCTACAGCTCAGAAAAGTAAGACCTAGATGATGTCAGGATAAGAGCTGATTGGCTTTTTTTTTCTGTCTCTTTCTTTTCTGTTTCTATAATCAATTTAAGTAAATCAGTTATTTTACTTCCCATACATATAAGTCAATACAGTATAAAGATTGATGTTTAAATCCCCTTCTCAGTAGGTCTCGTTCTTCTGTACTTCTTCTAGCGATTTTTTTTCATATGCTTTTAGAGAAGGCAGTACTCAACAGTACACCATCAAATATTAAACACTGAAGCCTTCCCCCTGAGTAGCTTGGAGGCTAAAGGAGCATTTTTTTAATACATTTCTAAAACCTACTTTTCTTTTATTCAGAAAAATCTATGAAAGAAGATAAACAGTAGGAATAAGTTTAAAGGTATTTTTTAACAATATTCTTTTTGCCAGAAGTAATGCAGACTGTGTGTGAATTGACATTAAGTTGGAGAATACGTTGGACTAAGAGTTGAGAGAAGACACTTTTATTTTGCATTACAGTCCATTCAGTTGTATTTCTTTTAGCTCAAGGTAAACTGGTACATATTGTAAATTTGTTCTCCCCACATTCAAAGTTTGCTCAAATTCAGTTTTGCTGGCATCATCACCATAAGAGCAGATGGACTGAACACAAAACTGCAGTGCGAAAGTTTGGCCCTAAAGTAACTTTAGTAAAACAGTTGCTTGTTAATCGCCTTGTTCAAAGGTACAGTTGCAATATTTTAGAGAAGAAAAGGCAATGCTCATTGTTCATCAAGATGTTTTCAGATGTATGGTTTTGAGAAAAATCAAAGAATATTATTTCTGTCACAAAATGTAACCTTTCACCTCGAGGCAGTACATCAGGCCAACAGTACAGCATATAAGACACATCCCGTGCTGCTAGTAGAACAAGTATCCAAGAATCCCAGCAATTTTCATACATTATTATACATTATTATACATTTTTAGCCACGGAATATCAATATTTCCTCCAGGTTCAGAGCTTGAGAAGTTTAGATGTCATCACTTGCCAGTAAACACTTAGAGCACCCCCTCCCATACCGTGCTTAATACCAGAGTATAATAAATTCAAATTTGAAAAGTACAATGCATTTTAATGACCTGCAGGAAAATCTGGATGCACCTGTATCACAAGGACATCTGTAGAAAATCAAACTGAGATTTCAACAATATCAAACATACCACTGCACATGCTATTTATAAATCTATTATATATGTATGTATTCTATATATTCAAAGTCCACAGAAGCTCAGCTTGGTAGAAGATATTTACATAGACTGAATCATACACATGATTGATGGAGGAGGTTTTTAAGTCTTAAGTCATGGTTGGTTCAGTGTCTGCTGAGGACTACGTATCATTCAAATGCACAATGCTTTTGCATTGTGATGTAAAATGACATTACCCCAAGGACATGTGGTGTGACTTTGTCAAAGTGTGAACAATGAACTGTGTGGGGGTGGAATGTATAAGAGCTAAGGCAATCTGCTGGGACTACAATTCATTGCCACTAAAGAAAACATCAGCGCTGCAGAACAAACTTGACACAAAGTCATAAAATCTCTAACTGTTGACAAAGCAAATGTCAAATGTGTTAGTCTTTTAGGCAACCTCCACTTCCATGTCCCACAGAGACACTCAGTCTTCCCATGTCTACTCAGTTTTCTCTCTGTGGCCCTGAGTTGGCTGCCTACATAACTGAAGCAAGATAGATGATAATGCACTGGGAAAGTAGCAAGACATTTGCACACTCACTGTTTTCTCATCCCTCCAGATGACAGTGTCTCAAGTTGAAAGGAATTTACGAAGCAGTTGTTTCACTTTTCTTCTTCTATTCTGTACCTTCACCACTTATCCACCATCCAGTGTGACAGATTAAACCTTTAACATAACGTTTTTTCCCAAACACGCCTAGTCTCTGTCAACAAGGGAACACGTCTATGAACTCCCATCTAATGCAGAATTAAAATTATTAAAGATACTTTGCGGCAAGGTTAAATCATATTGATCTGAGGCTGGAGAGGCACAAACCAGGGGAGAGATTCTTTTCTGTTTGAGTTTTAAGCTTTTTATCTACTAGCCCCCAGGCCTGTCGAGAGATGTTAGTGGGATGCTGAGCTTTCACCCCTGCAGCCAGTGCTGAACTTTGAAGTCTCTAAATGGCCTGTGTGTACATACTGATTTGATGCTAACGCTTGAGTGAGAAAGAAGAATGACACGGTGGGGTGGGACACGACAGCAAAGATAGTGTTAACACTGAAAAAACAGGAACGGTTCTTCTTTTGCTGTTTGTGCCTTTTCTTCATCTGTTTTAAATACTTGCAGATGTTCAATTAAGCTATGTTGTTTGGTGGGAACATTGGAGAATATAGCTTGACTATGCAAAGTTTGCTGCGTAATGTCTCGTAGTTCTACTCATTTGATTTTGCACTCATGAATCTCTCAACACTAGCTCCATAACAGTGCCGCCATGCATGCTAATAAAAATCAAAGTGGCTCTCCCTGGACTATTCAGTGAAAGCACTCTGTTTGTTTATTGAATTAATAATTTGAACTGGTCATAATATGACTTGTATTCTGTTTTCATGCTATTAAATAGTTTTAAAATAGAAGTTTGAATAGATGCTTTATTTGATTTTGCTATTTGTATCAAAAAATAATTAAAATTACTTAGTAACAAGGGTAATTAAAGAAGCTGTTTACAACTATGTTTTCCTTAAAGTGGATTTGGTATAATTAAATATGCCTCAAAGCCTCTCTCTTCCCCTTTGCTGTTAGGACACTGGAAACAAATGTAATGAGTTCTTTCTACATAATATCACATGGGAGTTATACTGAAATATGTTAGCAAGAGAAAAGCAAACCCATGTGAGTAGTAGTGAGTAACTATATTGTAAAGAAAGAAAATTGCTGTACTTATACCAAGTTCACTTTAATCTCAGACTGCAGCCTTATTTTTTGTTTCCTAGCAAAATTAAAAGTAGAATGAGAGGCAGACACATAAACTGTCAGGCCCTTATACTGTGGAACCAGCTTCCAGTTTGGATTCAGGAGGCAGACACCCTCTGTATTATTAAGATTAGGCTGAAAACTGGTAACCCTGAACTCTCCCTTAGTTATGCTAATTATGCTTATGTCCCAGAATGCGCTGGATGTTTCCTTTTCACACATTTTTTCTTTCTTTTTCTTTTTTTTAAACATTTGCAATTGCTAAACTCTCTCTCCTAAATTTGCCTCTTGTCCTGTCTCTCTCTCTGCCACCTCCTCTTTCCCCTCACCCCCAATTGTTTACAATAATGTGGCAGATAACTGCCTCTCCTTGTGCCTGTTTCTGCTGGACGTTTCGTCTTTTTAAAAGGGAGTTTTTCCTTCCCACTATCACTAAGTCCTTGCTCATAGAGAGTTGTGTGATTTTTGGGATCTCTTTGTAAGCTTGTTGGATCATAAGCTTGTAATATTAAGTGCCACTGGTGCTATATAAATAAGAAGCAGCTCAGAAAAGTACTTTTAAGCCTGCAATAATCACCATCTTTATAATATGGAATTGGTTTCTCAAAGTTAGACTCATATCATTTTTTTAACCTCAACAAAATTCTAAAATTATATTAACTAAACACCTGCTAAAGCATAGAATAGCCATTTGCTGAAACATAATTTAATTACATATATCTGTGTTAAATTTAAAAAAGCAAAATGAAACCACAGCTTTAATGGGCCAAAATGTTTGCTGAGATGATAATGATATACAGATGAAATGCCATTCCAAAAATAATTAACATTAAAATTTAGGTCTTCTCCATTTCTCCATTTCCATAGAATCGTTTCAAGTGTCCAGCCAAACATTATACAAGCTCTTACTCTCCACTACCTCTGAATTAAAGCGTAATACATTGGCTCAAGATCCAGCCACACTCTGTACTTTCTCAGCACAGAAGGCAGGATCAGTGAGAGAGAAAAAGAAGGGATGGCAGAAGAGGGTGGGTGTCAAGTGAGGAGGAGGGTGAGGAGGAAAAGAAGAGGAGGTTAATAATGAGTGTTCCAAAGAGCTCCTCCGACCGTGGAGAGGCCTCAGAGCCTTTGGTCTACTAGTGGCCTGATGACAGAAATGTAGAAGTGTGGAAGTCAGAGCCTCAGGTCACTTCCAGCGTCCCTCCGGCTCTTGCTGGTGTCTCAAAGCTGGGCCCCAAGACACTCCTCCACCCACCTGCACATTCTGGCCCCTGATCTCTCAGCACTGGCCCTCTAGGAGCTCAGGGGCAATTCCTCTTTCGCACTCCTACCTTCTCTAACTGAATACATTTCTCGTTTTGTTCATCTCTCTCTTCCAAGTCCTTCTCTCTCCCCCAAGCCAGCTCTTGTCCCCTCAAGCGGCAAGGCCCAGTTTTGATTTCCCTATAAATCCTGGTTATGGAGCGTGGAAGTGACTTGATCCCATTATTCTAGTAGTATGAGAGCGACCAGAGGTGATTCAGAATGAAATTGTGACAGTCTGGGGTGCCCTCAGAGATGCCAAGAGAGTAAAATTGTTACTATCCTCTTTCTTTGAAATATTAATGATGGGCCATCAATTGAGAAAAAAAAAAAAGATTAAATAGATATTCGAGTCACACAATGAGATGTTCCTGTACAAAGTGTTTTTATTTCCCTTTGTAAAATTACTCCTTTCATTGGTAGTCTTCTATAAACACCTGTCTCATTTACGTTCTGTGAGCTGGTTGTGATAGCAGTATGAAAGTGCCAATAATCTACTCTAACTGAAAGCTTTAGCGATGAGATTTCTGTTCTTTCATGTTGATAATGGTTGAAAAATATTTTCAGGTTATATAACTCTGAAAATTGCACAGTGACTAATTGATGTGTTGTGATGTTGAAATAAATTCTGGCCAAATAAAATGGCTTGCTAGAATATACAAATAGCTTAGACATTATCATAGGCAGTCACAATCTCTTCAAAAATAATGTCTGTGTGCAATATGAATATGCTTAGAGCCGGTTAAAGCAAGTGTCGTTTAGAGTACGGTAAGTTTTTACACGCTGAGACTTTGAGTGTGATTTGCTGGTCTCGGCACCGATGCTGCCAGGGGTTTGGGGACACGTAAAAAACAAATATTACTTTGGTTCTCGCCACTTTAATGCTAGATAAATAGTTTGGGTTTTTTTGATATTGTGTGTGATTGATGAGATATGTGCGAGCCATTTTATTTACATTTTAATAATTTAATGATAACATTATTAGATTTTTGATTGATTGATTGGTACCTTACACCAAATACATTATTATTAATTATAATAATATTACGTATTAATTTTAACAGATTTTTTAAAATAATGTATTATTATAAAATTATTTAATTATTTAAAATTTTACATTTAAGAACATTAATAATAATGTTGTAGCCACAGCTGTCCTGGGACAGACTGAAAGAGCGAGGCTGCCATATCGCGCTATCGGTCCCTCTGGCCATCACCAGTAGGCGGTAGGTGAAGCGTCTTGCCCAAGGAACCGGCAACCGGCAACCTTCCGGTTACATGACGAACTGCCAACTCTTTGACCCACGATCATCCCATTAGAGAAATATACCTAATTATCAAACATAAAAATTTGTAGTAAACACTTTTAGACTCTTTTTATGTTTTTATAACCTGGCAGAGTTCGAGGTAATATTAATTGGATTGTATATAGTTAATTAGATTAAAAGGGTAAATGTAGGTTCCCTATAATCCAGCTCCAAAAACACAGGCTCTTACATGTCACCTAATAAAACCCACCATTGTCTTTCATTGGACCCTTACTGCATAGTGAACATCCATACCTTTCAAACACCAGCTGCAATTAAAAATTATTTTCAAAAGCTTAAAACATTATCTGAATACATAATATAACACCACATGTCTTGATCATATGTCAAGGGTGTTCAGTTTTGCGTTGAATGACAATCAGTATTAAAGTTATCAATGCCGAGGATATACAATCCTTAAACACTTGCACTCCACTCTACTTTTTACCCCTGGACTGTACATTACATTTTGGTGCAGGGTTAGTTAATTAAAATAAAACTTCTGTTTCATCTTCTCATTACAGCCTTTAGACTATGAGAGCAAGAGAAACTACACACTCAAAGTTGAAGCTACCAACATCCGCTCAGAACCCAGGAGTAATGGGCCCTTTAAGGACACAGCTACAGTGAAAATTGTGGTTGAAGACTCAGATGAGCCTCCTGTTTTCTCCAAACCTATGTACTTATTAGAAGTGGATGAGAACGCGCCCATCAACAAGATCATAGGCACAGTCACTGCCAGGGACCCGGATGCTACTGGGAGCCCTATCAGGTAAGATGCAGTTAACATTAAGCCTGTGACAGAATTTCCACCTTTGCCTCAAAACTATTTGCTGTTAACTGACCACAGCAGAATGGTAGCAAAATCTGCACACACACACAAAAAGTACGTTGACTTCAAACAGTGGAGAGAAGGTTAACAAAATGAACCTTTTCAGGCTATAATGACTTGTTTTAATAAAATGGTTGACAGTGAGCCATGCAATTAAACCGCCTCATGTCTTTGACCTTTGGAGAATGTGGTAGTGTCTTCTGCAGTGAGGAAGGGACTCAATGATTGTTCTCATTTCCACAAATGTACAGAAAAAAAGTAGATTATGAGTTGAAGGCCGCACAACTTTATCTTTCATTGTATGACCAGGCCTGCTGTACTCTCTTCTAGTGTGACTTAGTCTTGGAAATACCACAAGGGCACCTTGAGGATAGGTTATACAGGCAATTTCTCTCCCTCCATCTTGGCATTTCATTAATTCTCCAGTGACTTGCTGACCGCATTCCCGGGACAACACTCAACAGGTTGTGTGTAATTGCATGGTAGAGAGCAGGCTGGGTTTCGTAGATTGGCTGAGGTTATAGAGCAGTGGCCGTTCGTTCTATTTTTTTTTCTTTTCTGGTGTCATCCTCATGTTTAGTGATGAGATTGCCAGGAGGAATTGAACCCCACAGATGCATGTTGCTTCCCTGGTAAATAGAGAAGGATATTTCATATATAATGACATCCTTGGCCTTAAAACTCAGTTTTACGTCACGGTGCTCTTATGTTTTTTAGTGAAAGTCTGTGTGGGGGAGAGTGACAAGGTAGTCTATAAATTAGTGAAATTATATTCTAAGTGTGTGAAAGTCCACTTCATAATTAAATACAATAATCTCATAATTGCATTTTACTCTGAAGTGGGTGTAGCTTTAATAGCTAGTTGTGTTCACATACTTTTGCTATTTGCTCTCTTCAGTGGATCATTATTGAAAGAAAAAGTAATTAAATAACGAATGAGTGTGGCTGCAGATGGCAGAACCCTGCTGACATGATCTCTTTGGCCATTTGTTGCAATGGAACTGTCCACATATCAACACATTCTTGGCACAGTCTTGGCACATTTTAACTATTTTGAACATGAGACAGTGAAAATTGAGTGATTGACTAGATCATTTCTATATTTGCAATTTATATTTTATTTCTCTTTCTTTATTAGTTGAACTTATTGCAGAAAAAATCTCTAAGCTCTTAATCACTAATTTAATATTTTGCAGTGAAACGGTTGCATTGCTTCAAGATTATTTTTTTTAATAAAGCTAATTTTAATCTAAAATAGAAAGCAGAAGAAATGGTGACCAGGTCATAGAATGCAGTAAAAAAAAACCTTTATGTGCCATTCTTCATGGGAAACAAAATACAAACAAACACCAGGTTGCATTTTGCCAGAACAATTTGCTTTAAACTAGCACATTAAGGTGATCTGTCTGGTGAGATGGAGCAAATTATTGTCATGGGGTCTCAGTATGTTGCACCACTCTTACTAAAGACCACTGGATTTCACTTCCAGCTCTGGAGTTTGGTGTTAGCATGTATTGTGACTCTGAGCATTTTTCTGAGAAAATAATTCAGTGAGTTTTTAGTCCTTGTAAATATATTGGCTGACAGAAGGTTATAACTTCATGCCTCATAAGAGATCCCAAGTCTTTTCTACAGTACAGAAAATCTAAACAAAGACTTATCATACAACAAGTCAAACATTGAGTCGTCATTTGGTCTCAAGAATATCATAGAAATCATAAAAATGTTAGAGGTGTCTTTCTCAAATTATTTACTTTGTCCAATAAAACCAAATGAAAGCTCAGTGACTCACAATGATAGAAAACTGAACCAAAGTAGAACATTTACACACCACAGAAGCCATGTTTTGAAACTGGAATGATTGATAAACATTAAATGTGCAGTATGCAATTTATTCACAGTATCCAATTTCTTCTGCTGGGGTCCTCTCAATCAAAATAATAAAATAGATAATTTAATGATGTTTTCAAGTAGTGTGAGAATATTGCCAATTAAAATCTGTCATACCTCAGGCAGAAATCATGTTCATGAACAGGGTGATATATTGGTTTAACACACATTGTGTTTGGTGACACATACACCCACACATTTTTAGTTGGGGCAGCTGAGTGGTCAAAGCAATAAAAAAAGAACTAAAAATGAAAATTGAATGAACTAAATCTTAATGAACATGTTGAACATTGTTGTACAACCAGAAAGTGACAACCATTGTTTCCATGAAAGTTAAAAGTTATATATACAGCATGTTTTAAACAACCTCTCTTGACCAAAGTGCTGTACAAGTTATACAAATTATACACTAAATAGAAACAGTCACTAAATACAAAACAAATATATGCTAAGTAAATATTCATAAATGTGGCTTCAGCCCAACTGTAAGTTGACTGCAATCAAACACACTATTCTTATTGGTGAAAATGTAATTTTTTTCTTCTTGAAAATTCAAAAAGTTCAGGATAATCTAAATTCCAAAGTCACCCTGATTGTTTCAAAGTCTAAGCTCATCTTCTCAAAGAAATGGCATTGACAGAGAAACCCTCTCTACTTGCAAGATTAGGTTTAAAACTTTTCTTTTTGACAAAGCATATTAGGTCTGGATCACGTGATTCCAAATCTTCCCTTAGTAATGCTGCAACAGGCATAACATGCTGGGGGCCTCCCATGATGCATGGAGTGTTTCTGCTTCAGTCACATTTTTTCACTCATTACGCCCAGTTAATCATTAGTTCTGTCCTGTCTTTTGGTCTGTCTTCTTCCTCTCACCCCAACCACTCGCGACAGATAGCCGCCCCTCCCTGAGTCTGGTTCTGCCAGAAGCTTTTTCCTGTCAAAACAGAGTTTTTCCTTCCCACTGTTGCCAAGTTCTTGCTCATAGGGGCTCATCTTCTTGTTGGTGTTTTCTCTGTATTATTGTAGGGTGTTTATCTTACGATATAAAGCGGCTTGAGGCAACAGTTGTTTTGATTTGGGGCTATCCATCCATTCATATCCGCTTATCAGGCTTGTCACAACTTGTCAGGCTTGTGGGTGTGCTGGAGACTGTCCCAGCTGTCTTAGGGCAAGAGGCTGGACAGGTTGCCAGTCTAACACATAGGGACAGACAACCATCCACACTCATATTCACACCTATGGACAATTTAGACTTACCTATTAACCTATCCCCACTAACTGCATGTCTTTAGAATGTGGGAGGAAGCCATAGTACCTGGAAAGAACCCACACAAACACAGGGAGAACATGCAAAATCCACACAGAAAGACCCCAGCCTGATGGTGGAACTGAATTCAGGACCTTCTTGCTGTGAGGCAACAGTGCTGACCACTGTGTTACTGTGCCACTGTGATTTGGGGCAATATAAATAAAACTGAAGTGAATTGAACTGAATCCACAGCAGTCAACTCTGATAACAAATGAGGCTTTATGCCATCCATTGACGATGGCCTATTCAAGTAGATTTTGGTGCTTTCTTTATAACATGAGAAACTGAGAGGTCATCCTTCCATCTTACAGTGAGGTCCAGCTGGCGAGATGTTTTTAGTAACCATGTCCTGACTGCCACACTTCTGGAAAGAGAGGCTTTCTTCTAACACTGACTTGAACGCTTCAGTCAAAGGTTTGGTGCAGCGTAGAGGAAAAATACTTGGCTGTTGTTCTTGCCTTTGCAGTCTTGTTTACTTTCCTTTGAAACGTAATATTTTCGATTGGTAGGACTTAATGTTTATTACCTTTGACCCTGTGGAAGTATATTTGGGGATTACTGCAAGGACCTTATTGTGACCCCACCTGTAACAGCCGTCTCTCAGAGCTTTGAGGCAGCCAGTTAATACATGATTAAAACACTGGTTTAAAATATACACTTTATTAATCTGTGTTTTCCTTTGTTCTTATCTCTTTGTTTTTCTCTTCTTAGTCTCTTAATTTCTCCGGTTTTCTAAAAGAACAGGTTCCTACAAAAGAAAGTCGGATCTATAGCTTTGGAGTGGCAGCAGTAATAGCAGCTTTAGTTAGACGCTCTCCTGCCATCATCTGAACAAGCTCCTGATTCGACCCCTCTGATTAGAATCACTTTCTGTCTTAATCCCCCCCTGCCAGACCAGACCAAACCAGTTTGAGTCAAAACCACTCGAGGCGAGTGCTCTGGTGGGCTGCCATGTCCTCTGCACTCAGGAGACAAACTACCCCTTAGCTGTACTTAATGCATCCAACCAATAACATTTCAGGTGCACTCCATGAAATACTTCCTTAGTACAGCTTTTCTCTGGAGCCTGTGCTCTGTCGTTTTCTACCTGACTGATCACAAATAAAAAGCAATGTGACATCTGGCAGTCACTAAGGTTGTCTGACACAAACTGTTTGATTTCATATAATATGTGTAGTTTATATCGGAAATATTGATACAGTGACAAGCATTGGCAAAAGATTTTAAACATGTTTGATTTTCATCTTTTTGTTCATTCTTGTTTTGTTTTTTTTACTTTTACTTTCACTTTGAAGTAATTTACAGGAGCATAATGGAATTCTAAAGAATGTTTGTTTATGCCGGCTCAATATGTTACGGCACAGCTGACAGCTGGCATACTATGTATGGTAATACAAGTAGTCAAGAAAAGGAGATGGTTTTGAAACAAATGGAAATGTAATGTCACTAAAGAAAACACCTTCTACTTCACAGGGATATTTTCCTATATTTTTAATATTTTGTTATTTATACTATATATTATTTCTAACTCTCAAGCAAATCACCATCTCCATTAAAAGAACTTGGAAATGAAACTAAATAAGATGTTGTGTTCAAACATAAATGGTCAGCATTTAAGAGTCGGGGAAACTAATTTTACCCCTGTGATCCTCCCAGGGGAATAACTGACGTAATAGCAAGCAGGATTATCAGGGGCATTTTGTTTTTCCGGCAACAAAAAAAAAATATATATATATATTCTCAATCTTTTCACCTTATAGTCTTCCAACTTGTACAGACGCTCAGTCACTCACATTCACACTGTAATGGAGATAAAACCCCAGCCAGTCAGGGGTGTGAAAAAACACAAATGGACATAGAAACCTTTCCATGGCTGCTTAGCCTATAATAGATAACCACAGGTAGACATACATATCCGCAGCACATGTTGTGTAGCATGCTTATATGATATATCGGACGCTTCCATAACGATACATCAAACAATTAGCGGTAACAGTTAAGTGGGAGGCATCATGCCTAGTTTGGCCACAGTAAACCACTCATGTATGTCTTTCATTTTGAAATAAGAGTAATAAGAATTCTTCCATAACGACTAAATAACTTTTTTGAACTTTTAACTCTAACCGATTTGAACTAATGAAAACTTTACAAATGTTTCATTTATTATTATCATAACATTTTCTCTTGGTTTTTCATTGTATTTGAATATTTTAATTCATCGTACTTTATAATACTCCCTCCAACATTGCCAAAGCCATATGTAAAATTGTTTAATTTAAATTTTTTAGGAAATGCTTCTGTTTTATGTGTACATTTTTTTCCACACACATATAAAATTGGTTATAGAGAAACTGAATTAGAGCCTAATTTTGGGAAAGGAAAAAAACATAATATACTCATTTTATAATAGAATCATTAGTGTCATCTTAATGATTCATTTTGCACTTTATGAGTAGGCCCACTGCACAGCAATGTGAACAAAAGCAAACTTAACTCTTTTGTTCCTTTAACACATAAAGAATTTTTTTTTAATAATATATAATATGTAATTAGGTTTTGTTCCTAGTCTATGTTATTGACTGAAGAAAATTTTGTGACAGAAAAGAGACATTACTGTGCATAGTAAGCATGACCAATGATAGCTAGCATGGCAAAAAGGGGCCATCCTCATAAACTGCAACAGAGAAGTCCCATCCTGGCCACACTGTTTGATAGATGACACTCTGTGAAAAATGCAGTGCATCAAAGTTCTAATTACAAAAAAACAAACAAAAACAGTCTAATTATAGCTTGTAGCTATTTTGCTATTTGAGCTTATGTTCCACTAATGTATGATGATGATGTTTATAGTGATTCTGAATATTTTTGGATGTCAGCTGCAGCACTTATAAAATATTTGGCACAAACAACCTCAACATGATGGATAACTGTTTGACCTAGGCCCGTCCAGAGCCTTGGAAAAAAAAATCTTCTGAAACATAAAGCAAAGCTGAAATGATGTGATAGAAATACACGGACGCGTGAATACATTTGCACCTGTTCTCACATCACACTCGGGAAAGCTGCGAACGTATAATGTTGGAGATCATTTTTTTTATTTGCTTTTAATTCTTTTCACATCACATTGTCAGTTTGAGTGACAGGTGGCAGAACATTTCAGGGTCTGTCTCCTCTCTTCCACGTGAGGCTGTCAGACTTTGACTGGGATCCACTCAGTCTGCAGGAGAGAGGCTGCTCCCAGGTGGGTTGCTGCTGTCTGCCTGTCTTGAAAGTGCTTTGCGTCTGCAGGCCAAGAGAGAAAGAGAAGGAGCGGTGGGGTGTTGGTAGTGGGGGGTGGGGTCCTTATGGACCTCTTCCAGCCTGGCGTCTAGAGGATTTTACACCATTTCATCTCAAAAATGGAAATGTCACGGCTCGGTACATCTCCCCAACAATTGGAATCTGGGCCAGTGGTTTATTTATTTCATTCCCTACCATTCTTGTATAAGCAGCAACCTTCTTCATATAAATAGTTATTGTGACTTTGTCTTTGCCATTTTCTGGTGCTCTTTTTCTGTTTTTTCTTTCCTTTCCTCTGCATTCCTTTCCATTCTGTCTTTTCATTCATTCTCTCACATAAATACTATAGACTCCCTGCCAACAGGTCTACAGTGATAGGGATGAGCAGTTCCAGTGTGAGACAGAATGAGACCCAGGGTGAGGAAGGAGGAGAGACAGGGTGAGCAGTGTGCCTGATGGCCGGGATGTCTGTGTGGGGAAGGGGGTTTGCTCAGAATTGGATAGGGGGATTGGATTAGTAAGAGCTTGTGACCCAGCTGGATAGAAAAGGAAGAAAAAAAATACTTTTGCAATATTGTGGGTGGGTAGGTGGGGTACTGTGAGGAAACAGAGAGAAAGTAACAGGGACAATGTGTCCTGGAGGTATGGAAACCCTTGTGCTGTGCAGTACATGTAATTAGTTCACGTGAATCACTGCAGCCTTGTGTTTTGGGTGAGTAGGATGTTTATGACAGTCACACATAATGGCAAATGAAATGTGTGAAACCAAAGATGACCCATAATGACAGATTCTTTTTTAGTCAGTTTTGTGTGGGCTTGTCCCAAGAATTGGCGCTGTGCATGCTGCAACATGAAAGAGCGATTTCACAGCTTCAAGTGGCATCAGAAAATTCTCTTTTATGTGCATTCCAGTGCTTCTGCTTTTTTTTATTTTTTGGGGTGGGGAGTTTTATGTGTTGCACTATTTTTTTTTAAACTGGAAGACTATACAAGTCTCAGTCAGTGTGTCACGGGCAGGGTCATAGATTAATTTCAATCTGAAAAAGGACAGCTTGACAAAAATACGTAAATAAAAAATGAATAAAGCATCTCCTTCTACTAGTTTAAAAAGAAAAAAAAAATTGCTGAAATCGGACAAGGGTTCTTAATAGGCAGGTCACTGTTTAACTCCTGTAATATTCATTACCTCCCCACCCCCATGCCCCTCTGTTGTTGGTGTTGTATGTGACACAATGCTGTCCTAACTCATTAATGCAAAGCCTTTGGGAGCCATTGAGTGTTGACAGATCCCAAACAGGGTTAACAGCACCACATCTCTTACCCTGACATAACATGTACTAATGGTCTTTTTTGCAGGAAGGAGGCATCGCCTAGATTGGGGGGAGGGCTTCTAGGCTGTAATGCCCCCTGCTGTTCATGGGGAGGCAATAATTATCCCTCAGATGATAATTATTGATTTCCAATTGTTTTTAAATGAATATTGATCTACAGGTTTCTCCTGTTAGGCACAACACCCCAAGGATTAGAAAAGATGCTTCAGTGGTGCTGCCGCAACAGTGTTTTGGCTCAAATTTCTGGTGTTTGTTTATCTTGGTAGGTACTTCATTGATCGACACACAGATCTGGAGAGGCAGTTCAACATCAATGTGGACAATGGCAGGATCACGCTGGCCAAACCATTGGACAGAGAGACAGACATGTGGCACAATATTACAGTAACAGCCACAGAAGTCAGTAAGTAACATTTGCTGGCTCTGTTCTCCCCTGCTGTGCACACTGTCCGTAATGATTTACCCCCAAAGCTTTAGAAAATAAAGCTCTGGGTTTTTTTGTTTTTTAATGGGTAACAGCAGAAACACATGTATGCTATCTTACTCCTTTGAACAACTTTATGGGTGTTCTCAGTCAAAGGAATCACTGACCTGCTTCACAAAGTTCTCCATTCAACAGTATAGAGCTGCTTTCTAAACCAGCACTTTTAATCGCTCCAAGAGTATGGCACAAACAATTAGCATTTGAATCCACAGAGGCATTAAATACGTTAATTTGCTGAGTTTTGATTGAATTAAACAGCTCAGTAGTCAATTTGTGAAAGTGCAAGAACATTAAGACGTATCAAATAAACAGTTTTAAAGACATGCTCCAGAGTGGATTGCTCCAACGCCAGCATCCATTACAGATTAGAGAACATCTGCGAACCGCAAAACTCACTGACTATGTAGAAAATCTTGCCGGCAGAGCTACAAACAGCTCCAACCATATGTAAGGCTTTATTTGCATACAGATTGTTTCAGGGGGGCTGTATGTTGTGATAAAGCTTAATGTACCCCTTTAAGCTATTGGAATAGAAATTTACACAGCTTGTAACTTTTTTTCTGTCCGATTCGTCTCTTCTATCTCTTCCTCCTCTCTATGTCTCACCATCTATCTGTCGCTTTCTTTCTTTAATCAAAGAAAACACATATTAATTGTCAGAAAATAGAAAGAAAAAAAGTCCGTACACTGTCGCAATGTTTTGGCCATGCGGTAAAGACAAATCCCACCATCGCAGCAGCCTATTGGAGAAACTGAATGTGTCTCATTTGATAAGCTGGTTCCCTTGTCATGTCGTGCACCCTTACATTGAAAGCACATTTTCATGCCTCTTGGCAAAGTAACTGTGGCTTGAGATAGTGGCATCTCTGAGAACACCTAATAGGAATTTGCCAAAATAAATACAGCAGTTTTGCTATTCTTCACGGATGGGGAGGAGAAGCCGGTGTCTTCTCTGGCGTGAAAAGCAATAGATGTGTTCCCAGTTCTATCCCGATGCCATTTGCCACCCAAACTGAGGAACGTTCTGCTGCCTCGCACCAGTTGACATCTGACTAATCAGATTCTATTCCCTGTCTGCTACTAGGGGGAAATCGCTTGCGAGGGGAGGGCACACTGTCTCCCCTCCCTCTGCTCTAATCCATCTATCACTGTCTATCAGACTGTCAATTTCCACTCACCTCACTGCTTACCTCTTTTTCAATTCATCTCCTGGAAAGGCTGAAGGCCCTGAGTTTCTACTGCGTCTACTGCTTCATTTTAAGGTTTTACTGACATTATGAAAGAGAAAAAAACCTAATGCTTTTATGCAAATAATTTGGTATTCCATGCTCAGAAATGTATATTAATGTAATCCTCTGTGACAGTGGTTTAATTTCTTCATAGAAATGTGACAGTGTAACTTTTAAAGACAACAGCTGTTGGAATGGCGGGACTTATCCTAGAACATAAGCAGTGAAAGGCAGTCTGGCACTTTTCACGGCACTCAGGATTTCTGCTGCTGCAGCTTCACTCTGTCTGGTATGGCCTGATGTTTATAGCAGATAAAATCTGAAAACTCTGGGAAAATGCGATCACATATGCTGACTTTATGATGTGGTACCTGGTATACAGCATAAAGTATGTTGCATATAAGCATGTCCTCAGTGTAGCTAATCTGTAAAAATGAAAGGAAATTACAAAAACACACGCACGGTTCAAGAAAAATGTAGTGTACGTCTAAAATAACATTGCAAAGCATTCTCTTAAATTAATAATTTTCCAAATCAATAAAAATAATTTAAACAAAAATCACTATTGTCACTGGCCATGGTGACACAACCCTCTTGGGTCCACATTAATAGATAATTGCTTTTAAAGTTGGCATTTGCACCACTGATTAATAAATACACCATTCACAGAGACTCTCGAAAGCGACTGTCAATTACCAGTGATGAATAATTCCAATCAAAATCTAATCTAATTAAACTGCCTTTTATTGTCTTTTTAGACTTCAGTTACCAATGACTCATTAATATGCATGTTTTAACCCTCATGTTTTAAACATTACAGTGTACAGGGGATTTTCAAAAGCACTTTGAATAGGATTTTTTTTCCATTTCTGTTGCCTAGAATCCTGTTTTGCATCGTTGATACTGGCTGAAATTTAGATTGATGTGGCTTATCATCTGTCCTCCCATCAGCCCAGGAAATGAAGGGAGAATAAAGATGGAAAATAAAGGAAATTAAAACTAGGTCACAGAATTTACCTGGGATTTCAAGTATAACATTTTTTCCATCACTGTCTCTTCTTATTTATTAATCTCCACTTTTCCTCTACATCTTTTGATTCCTTATGATTCTATCTATCTCTCTCTCTATCTATCTATCTATCTATCTATCTATCTATCTATCTATCTATCTATCTATCTATCTATCTATCTATCTATCTATCTATCTATCTATCTAATCAGGAAATCACAGTCAGATATCAAGGGCAGTTGTGGCCATCAGAGTAATGGACATTAACGACAATGCACCCGAATTTGCCACCGAATACGAGGCCTTTTTATGTGAAAATGGAAAGCCTGGACAGGTAAGGAAAGAAGACGCTCATTCATCAAAGCAGTTATCTATCAATTTCTTACTCTCTGTCCTTTTCTTTCTCTTTCTCCTCCTTTGTAATGATTGGCCACAGTGAATTATAGGCTATTTATTTCAGTGGGAAACTACAGAGGTGGGAGTACGGTCTTTTTTCTCCACAACAGTCCTCCCTCCACACAGTGTGCGCTGAGCAAAGGGGAAATGAGAGCAGTCAGGATTGATCAGAGTGGATCATAATTCAAGACTGTCTTTCATGTCCTCCTCCAGATGGCACAATGCTTCCCCCAGCCAAAAATCGTGGACAAGTACTTAGCATTCTCCTTTTCATCAATCGACCTCATTCACGGGACCTGTGTATATACCATAGGGAGTTTTATTGAAAGGAGGAGAGAGAAAAAAAAGTAAACAGAGAAAAGATGAAACTGTCCTGCCGGGCCTGAATTCTAATTTCCAATAAATCATAAAGACATACAGTGTGATAAGACCTATGATGACAGATTAACAGATAGAGCCAGGAGCCTGAAAGTGTGCCAGACTAGACAGGACCTCATTGATAATAATCTCAAACTCCAGGAATGAATAGGGCACATATTTCATCAGGTATGATCCAGCCACTATTACACTGAGGCAATCTGCGGTGGCAAAAACAGAGTAATGAATAGGCTGCCTCCTCTAATGGCTTTGAGCCCTCCTCTGTAAATCTGCTTTTCTATCTGTTTTCAACACAGGTGATCCAGACTGTCAGTGCGGTGGACAAAGATGACCCAATCCAGGGCCATTACTTTGACTATCGTTTAGTCCCTGAGATGCTAAACAACCCCAATTTTACCATCAAAAACAACCAAGGTGAGAAGCAGGTGACATCAGAGAAAAATAAGTCTTTTGTGGCAGAATGACTGAAGTTTCTGCAAATTTTTTCAATGGCTTTCCAGTCTAATCTCCAACCCACGGCACGTTAGCCATACTGGAGATGAAATCTGGTGGATCAGTGTAGCTCACAATTAGCAGATGTGAAATTGTCTGGACACCAGCTTCTTTTTACTCCCCAGCGCGTTTTGAGGGAAACTAAATGAATGGGATCCAAATGGCTTTTCCTGGTATTCTTTCAGCTAAATGTAGGGTGACTTCCTAGGAGCTGTTGCAGTGTGGCAGATGGTACTAAATTTATTTGCTAAATACTCTGAATGGTTTATTTGCCATTTTCTCATGTTTTTTATTCCATTCCTCTTCTCTTGCCTTTCCTTCATTACCGACTCTGAACCGACTGTGTTCACCATGAGTTGTGTAATAGTTTCAGCTTGGGGCAGAAAGATCTTCATATGGTACTACCCTTCTGTTCCGATGTGGAAGCTGTAGGCAAAGTTACTGCTACCTCTCTTTGATGCAAGATGAGTTTGTATAAATCAGGTCAAGTGGGCTACCATTTTTTTTATTAAAATATTTTTTAACAAACCTTGCGCTTCCGAACAGCACTGGCAGGATATGTGCATAACATCCCAACGTGTTATGAATAAAAGGCTGCATCAGCACAGACTTGCTTCAGATTATTTAGTCTTAACTCTGGATCAACTTCAAAGTTTATAAAACATGCATGCTCCTGAATCCTGTCCTTTTGTGCAGAGGAGATTTATTAGTTTCTTAAGATGATGTAACAGATAAAACCTCCACTAGAAATGATTCACCTCTAAAAGCACAGCTCTGTGTTTGACCAGTGAACAAAAAGCCTCCTCTCTTCCTCAAATGCCTGAAACAAAAGTAAATATGTGTTGTGGTTTGGTTCCATATATTACATACCACACCACAGCAGCCACTTGTCTATGGTAATGTTAATTCTAAACAGAAAAAAGCCCATTGCACCATATTCCTCTGCACTTGAGTGACTATTTCTATCTGAGGCGGCAGCTGTGGGAGACACTTCAGTGAAGAGCGCCGGGCTCCTGTGAGCCTCTGTGTGCTGCTTTTGTTTGTGATGATGAGTCTAATTGTAGGGAATGCACAGTGAAGAGGTTAGGGGTAGCCTGCCATGGGGAAAATGGCGAAGGTTCTGACCAGCTATATAGAAGATACTGAGCGTCCTCACAACTGAGTATTCAGTAGGCAGGATGCAACAGAGCAGGGCTTCCCATCCTTGGTAGCTGAGACAACATACTCACCATGATGCAAAAAATGTAATTCTGCTGATAGACATTATTTTCACACTAACATTTGTATGAGGAAATAACACAATGTTCCTTTTACAAATGAAATGTTCAACACATTAGGAATAAAATGTACTGTTGCTAAATTCATTATGCTCAAGGGTTTTACCGCTACAGTTTATGGTGGCTAATGTCAAATAGTCTTTGACAGGTACTACTTTATCGTCATTAATAGAACAGAATCATCTCCTTTCAATTCTACATCACCTTTTAGCATTATCTTTATACTTGCGACTATTCGGAGTGATCCTTGTTTATTAAAAAAATTAAAGGGTCCATCAAAAATTTAATTCCTACTTGGCAACACTTTTTTTCCTGGGTGCCTCCAATATTTGAGGTTCATCTCTAGGTGCCCTCCTATTTCCATGACCATTAAGATATATTATGAATAAATGTCATACATACATGCACCGTACATGTGTTTATCTGCTTTTGATTGCCAGAGTGCCTGCTGCACACACTCTACATATGCAATCCACACAGTATATCCAAATTTAAACTGCAACCTTGTAATCCAGGACCTAATACAGTTAGACAGACAGTTAGATGCTGAATAATTTTCTCTAAAATTGCTCCTTCACTTTACCTCTACTTTTTTTTTAGCATCATTGTGAGCGGGACAAGTAGCACTGGCCAGTAACTGCAACAGTCCATATCGCAGTTACTGGTTATGATACATTGCTGATAAATCGTCTCTTAAAAAATTAAATATAAACAGACTTTTCAAATAAGAGTGTAACTATTCAGACTGCCCAAAGTTTTGTCATTATGCCCCCTCTTTCCTCCTACAACACCAAAGAATTGTGTCTTTCACCCCGACTTGCTGAACCAGCTACAAGACAAAGGTTAGCAAAGGAAAAATGCTTGCTAATGTAATTTTGCAGGCTAATTAGCCAATTAGCTGTACACCGAACAGCTTCAAACTTTACCTGCAAGTGTCAGTCAGTTTAAATATTAATTGTTGTAGTCCTTATTCTTCATCACCACTGCTGAATGAGCCTTTACTGCATGTTAACACAAAATTGTCTCCGGCTCTATAAACAACATTTACTGCTGCATGTTAATTTTGTTAATGTTGTGATGCTGAAAAATTGTCAGTGAAACATGTAGTCTTACACTCAGATTTAAGGAAAGGCTCTTTTAGGGACTAATTATTAGTGTCTGTGATTATACAGCATACAATGACATGCCAATAATGAGGACACAATACAAAACTGTGACACAAACTGACACCCTAACCATTTCGTATATTTATTTCTAGGCAAATTTGGTCCTACCAATATGACCTCTTTCACTTCTTAGATCCTTTCATGTTAGGTTATAAAACATTTAATTTATGTAGGTTGTGAAACTTCAGAGGCATCGGGAATTTGAAAGTGTTTAGACTGTTGGTGTCACTTTTGCTGTCACTGCTGTCATTTGTAGCCTCCCACATAATACGTTATTTATAGCAAATCTTAATTTAAATAAGGCTTTGCTTTTGTCATAGTGACAATTAATATTTCAATGTACACAGTGTTCATCAGAACGCTAACAGTCAGTAGATGAAACACTGTTCAAGTGGCCTAATATATAAAAGGTAATAAAAACAGCATTGTTGTAAACCTAGTGAGTTCAGTCTGTTTGAAGGTTATGTGCACAGCTGTCTTTCTCTTTGAGTAGAAACTCCGTATGTCGATTGGCAATTCTATTTTTTACCATCAATAGTTGCTAGGAAAATGCAAATCATCTGCATATCAGAACATGCCCCAATGGTTTACTTCACTATAGTTTATACTTCTTACTATGCAGTGCTCAATGATCTAAATAAAAAGGGACATGTCGGTGCTCACAAAGCAGAGTGTATCACTTTGTGGCAGCACTCATAAGAAAATAAATCTGAGCATATGTTCACATCAATTACAGATTGTGCAAAGCAAATAATTCTATCATGAAGTCTTCCATCTTATGATTAAGTTTGCTCTGTCAACACGAATGTTTCAACTTGGCCCTTCTCTCTGTATCACCCTCAAGCTGCGAGGCAAAGGTTAGACTATCAGAAATCTTGTATGTTTTCCATAAGATCAGCAGGAGTAGGTTCTTATGGGACTGCAAGTGTTTGATAATGTGAGGAGGCTAAGGAGTGCCAGCTAATGAGCAGACAGCTTCACAGAAGTGCCATCAAAGAGCAGCTGGCACCTTTCTGGGTCGACATGTGCCATCTTCTTAGCCAGTGTCGCCTGCCGTGGTCCCTTCATTTCCTTCACTTTCAAAGAGGAACGGCGAATTCAGATTCACCTTTCTTCAGAATCCTCAAATTGGACTGTAGAGAAACGAAGGAAGGTGGTTGGAATCTATCTACAGCATTGGAATGTGAGAACGCTAAAAAGCCTAATGGCGATTGATGTGAAATTAGTTTACCCTCATGCTGCACTGATCTTCACACAATTTAATAATAGAACTTCAGTCTGTCACCACCATGAATAATAATGGGTTTTTCTCACGCCCTTGCAAAAATTCATTTCTGGCTTTACATCTCTCTGACAGACAATTCAATCAGTGTCCTAGCCAAGCATGATACCTTCCGACGACAGAAACAGGAGATGTACTTCCTGCCAATCATTGTGACGGACAATGGGAATCCGCCGATGAGCAGCACCAACACCTTGACGATCAGAGTCTGTGGGTGCAGTAAGGATGGCATTGTCCAGTCTTGCAACGTGGAGGCGTATGTCTTACCCATTGGACTTAGTATGGGGGCTTTAATTGCCATCCTTGCCTGCATTATACTACTGCTAGGTGAGGTATCCGTTCTGTTGTGCATCATTCCATTGAAGTGGTTTTAATGGATGTTGTAGACATCATAGATTTTTTTCCTCCATAAAAGATGTACTTGTACTAACACAAAAATCCACTTGACCAATCCTAACCTAGTTTCCCGTGTATTTTTCTACCTATTTTTCAATCTTTCTTTCTGACAGTAATAGTAGTACTATTCGTGACCTTGAGGAGACACAAGAATGAGCCTCTGATTATCAAGGATGACGAAGATGTGAGGGAGAATATTATCCGTTATGATGATGAAGGAGGAGGTGAAGAGGACACCGAAGCATTTGACATTGCCACGCTGCAGAACCCGGATGGCATCAATGGGTACCTGCCACGCAAGGATATCAAGCCTGACCTGCAGTTTATGCCACGGGCAGGTCAACATTCGGGTCCAAATGGTGTGGATGTAGATGAATTCATCAACGTACGGCTCCACGAGGCAGACAATGATCCAACAGCACCACCTTACGACTCCATCCAGATCTATGGATACGAGGGCCGGGGATCCATTGCTGGCTCCCTCAGCTCACTGGAGACAGCGTCATCAGACTCTGACCAGAACTATGACTATCTCAGAGAATGGGGTCCACGCTTCAGAAGACTTGGGGAGCTCTACTCTGTGGGTGAGAGTGACCGTGAGACCTGACCTTTGATTTCTTAAAAACAAACAAACAAAAAAAAAGACTTAAGATTTTTTTTTCTGTCCACATACTTGTGTATTGAACGCTAGGGGGTTTGTTGGCTTTTAGAAACTGGTGTTTAAAAAGAAAAAAAAACAGTTAATAACAAGGGAGGCCACCTTTTTGTAATCTTTTTAGAGTGAGGTATAGCAGTTGTCATCTACTATGTCAAGCGCATTATAATTGTTCAGCCAAACAATGTCTTTATTAGGAGATCTATGATTCTTGTGGAGTGTAACTTAGATTCCGTTGTGGAGTGTCTAGCAGTATTTTGGGTGTTAGTCATTTACTGTGACTACCAGTAGCAGAAAAACCCTGGCACTGCTGGTAGTTGCTCAGTGAACAGATATTTGTGGGTTCTCTGAAGCTTGAGCGGACACCATGCTCGATGCTCCATGGACAACAAGCTGGACTACAGAAGGTGGAGAGGGTTTCCTGTCTCCCTAAGCCACGCAGCTGATGGTGATTGCAAGGAACAAGACAATGACAAAGCAATATATGGTCTTCATTACAATGATGAATGTATGTATGATTTGAAAAAAAGCAAAAAGACAAACCAGTATTGGCTTTAAGGTGAATTTGTTATCATTTGATATGTTCTCTGGTGGCCACATTTATAAACTATCTAAAGCCCAGAAAGGCTTGCTTTATACAACTCTTTGTATTTACATGCTACAGGTGTGGGTTGCAAGCGTTACTAGCCTATAAAAGACTGAAGTGAAGACAAAAAAGAGAAATGTAGAAACTCTGAGGCCTTCTTTTTACAGAAGCAACATTAAATACAATTGTAATCTACTGTTTTTGACAAGAGATGTGTTGATTCTTCATTATTGTTCTGAGTTTTTGTATATCTGCTCCTAAGTCTTTTTTTTCTGTGCTGACTATTTGAAGTGAGTGTGTTCAGATTATTTCACATTCAACAGTTTTTTTCTAACCACTCAAACACTATTTCATAACAGCCAAACCATATCATAAACCTATTGCAGTTGATGATGTAGATTAGATTTAAGCAGGCAAACAAGACCTCTAGGTTACTGTAGCAATGCAGATGAATTCATTAATTGGGACTTCAGAAATGGGATCTTTCTGACACATGCTAATTCTGTGTAAAATATATTTCGTAATATATTCCGAGGTGCAGCGTCTGAGCACAATAGTCCAATTGAGAACTAAGTGACTCTTTTTAAACATCAAATCTCATTTAGGAAACACAGATTGTGTTAGCCCAAGAAAAATGAATTTGCGGATCAGGACCATGTGCATATTGTGCTTACACTGTATGATATCAATAAAAAGACTTGTACTGTACATAGAGTTACTGCTAACGTCATTAGCTTTCAATGAGGTGGTAGGTTTTGTCTCTGCACGTTAGCTCTTGCACATTATGAGAATTTCAATGGCACTACAGCTGCGTGCATACTCAGTTTGTACTGATACAGTATTATGGCAGTTCTCGGTAGACTAAACAATATATATGGAATAGTCCTACATGCAGATCATATTTTCTACTGTGCTTTAATGCTTATAAATGTGTATGTTCAATTATTTACTCCCTGTACTGTAATCTAAGATACCCTGTATTGTTTCCTACTTTGTGAAATATATTTTTATAAATATTGCCGAATGAGTGTGCTTTTCTTATACAGGCTAGAGGTCAACACTACAAAACGTTGAAGACAGTGCTACACAGCAAAATCTCCAGTGTTAAATTAACACTAGAGAGTGTCTACATGGGTCCACACCTCTGAGTGTTAAATACAACACTGTTGAGTGTTAAATTAACACTTTTGACAGTGTTATATGTTTAAAAGTAACCTAGTCAGTTTTGAAGATTAACAAAGACTAACACTGAGCAGTGCTCATTTTCTAACACTGGAAAATAACACAAAATGTTAGAAATATTCCAGTGTTAGAAAATCAGCACTGCTCAGTGTTAGCCATTGTTAATCTTCAAAACTGACCAGGTTACTTTTAAACATATAACACTGTCAAAAGTGTTAATTTAACACTCAACAGTGTTGTATTTAACACTCAGAGGTGTGGACCCATGTAGACACTCTCTAGTGTTAATTTAACACTGGAGATTTTGCTGTGTATGAAGATAATTTTCAGGTCAGCTTAGTGACACAAAGCACAGAGTCATCCTTGGGCAAATATTTGAAAAAGTAACCCTGATGACATCATGCCAGTGTCTTCAAGGTCATCCTTGCCTGGAGACTACAAATAGTATAGCAGAAAGCACGTTTTACAGACATAACAAAACAGGACCACGGCCATCAAATACTGATATTCTCTTTGGTGTCACAGGCATTGCTACGTTAGACACAAGTTGTACACTACTGATGGACTGCCCCACCACTGGACTTTGAGAGCTAATTTGCCATTTTTAAAGAACAAGAACGCGTACATTTGATTGCGATATTGTAGAACAGAGAGAAAGCTGGGGAGACAAAGTGAGGGAATGACATGCAGCAAATGGCCTGGGGGTGACTGAAACCCAGGCAGCTACAGCAACAACTAGGCAGCTCTGTCAGGTATGCTACAGGGGTAGCCCCACCACCTATGGTTTTCAATGGGACTCCTTCACGAACCTCTATATGTGATAAATTGGGAGTGAGAGACCAATCTGTAAGATACAAGCAGCTTTGACAAAATGTCAGTAAGACATCTGAGAACGGGCCAACTTGGCTGACTACTGAAATATTAGGATACCACTGTTGTTTAAGCTATGTTCATTACCTTGTGCCTGCAAGTTCCTAAACTCCCTGAAAGTAAGATTCAAGTATATAAATTAGTTGAAGAAGACCTATTTAAAAAAGCAAAATCATTTACATTTTTACACAAAAGTGCACTCAGATTTAAAGGAAATACACCAGAAGGGATACTGCAAGACATCAGCACAAAATAGCTCCTGCAATGTTTTGGATGTTCAAGAAACAGACAAATACAAAACAACAGAATCTAAGATCAGCAGACACAAGTGGACCCATTCTCCAAACACCGGGATGGCTGTGCTGGTTCTCTAAAAATGCTTCTGGCAAGATTGTGCATCATCAGACAGCATGATAAAGACAGAAGCTGCCCTGTAGCATTATATTTCCCACACCGTTCTTCACTTAGTCACCTAGCATACTTTGGCCCTGCGCTGCTTGAATGCTATAAAAGTCAGTTTTGCTGTGTTGTTGATGTTGCTTTGGAAAGCAAAAATGGACTTCTAACCCACTTGAATTAGTATTCTGTTAAAACAGTCTTAGACTAAACCTGCATCCTAAAAGCAGCATCAAGATAGGGAAATACATCAATAGAGAAAAAGAATGTCAGTGCTTATCATTTTCCCCTTTCCCAGTTTACTTTCCTTGAAAACAGCTGTCATGTTGAAGGTAACCTTTCATCCTTAAAAGTTGCCACTTACTTGAAGAAATTGTGCCGTCTTAAGAATTTTGTTTATCATTTTGACATTATGAAGATGGAATAGTTCTAGTTCTAGCGAGAATGCAGCCAACAGTGCAGCAGGACTGAACTTTGTACTGCTTTGTCATGCAGATTTGAATACAGCAGTCATTTATGGTTGCAGAGTCAGTGAGGGAAAGAAGGATAGAATCAAGAAGCATTACACATGTTGTGTGCATTTTTACACATTTGTCAATATCTAAAACATTTTGTTAGTCTTAACATTTAAACTGTGCCATGCCGTTGTGTATTAAACCTGATTTATTACTCCTCTCAGATATAAACCAGAGAGATTCTATTGTGTTACAGTAAAGCTCATCTGACCATGCTATTTATTTATTTATGTTTTTGGAGCAAGATCTCCTGTTTCCTGGCCTTTATAGCGTTATTTCTTAACGATATTTCCTTTTCTTGATGTCTTCTTTCTGTTAATCTTGTTGGAAGATTGGAATTTTTACGGGTTTATCTGATATCAAGGTTTCTCATAAATACAAAAAATCTTTGATAGTATCAAATACAGACACTGCCTCACTGAACTGAAAGACAAAAAAATCATGCTAATCTGCTTGCACATATGCCTACAGCATTTAAAGAGTGCACATGCACAGCCAATACTGCTGCAATGAAAACAATACAAATACTAGCTATAGTGATTAGTTACATTTAAATTAAAAACCAAAAAAAATCTGATTCTACACACTATTATTCACCACTTAGTTTTCCAAACTTGCCAGAGTGGTCTTAGTTTTTCAGATGCTATTGGCCTCTGGGTTTGGATATAATGTTAAGCCTGAAGGCTGCTATCTTTATGCACCTGAACCATTAGTCAAAATCAGCCATGGAACACATTTTAGCAACCGATATCTTCAGCTAAATGATAGCACAAATTGTTTTTTGGAATGTGCGACCCCGGCAGGTCAGCAAACTCATTTGTAGTCAATCTTCATGCTCCCCCACTGCTGTGTATTGCTGCAGGTTTGACAGAAGTTGCCTAACTAAAGAGTAAATCAAATTACCTTCTCACTTTTGTCACGTAATGGAAGTGTCCCTCGGGTGACAACTTTGCGCTCGTTGTTCCCTGCTGATATGTGCCAGATTTTATATGGCAGCCCTGTGGCTCCAACTCGTGTGGTGTAGAAACTGTAATTACTGTTGCCTGGCAGAGATGCCCCCAATTATAAACAAACTTTGGTGCATACAAATTAAGAAAGCTGCTTTCTATTCTGGCTTTGAGCTACAGATATCACATTTTTTTCTTCTTGTGTTTTTTTTGTTTGTTTGTTTGTTTTTGTGTGTGTGTTTAGTTTTTTGTGTTTGTTTTTTTTATTTATTTATTTCATATTCACCTTGGCTTTATTAATATTTACTGGTAGTGTTGGGACGGGTGAGGACCGCTGATGGGGGATTAGGGAAAATTGGAGGTGGTTTCCACTGATCTAATTTTAAAAGTGTCAGAGAATAGAGGAATGAGAAGTACGGTAGCCAAATGATTGCCAGCAGTCTGAATGGGAGGAATTCCTTCAGTGAGCTGAAGTCTTGAGTTAGGAATCATCTTGCTAATGCAAGATCATGTCTAACACTAAACTTCATGATAAAGCAATTAACCAAAGAGCTAATGAGCTTGAAAAGAACAAAGCTTGATTGAAACATGCTATACTGCTGCAGAACACTATTCATCCTATCAGCTATTGCTATTTTAAAAAAGTGTTATGGTTTAGAATTTCAGTAACAACAACAACAACAACAACAACAACAACAACAACAATCTTTATTTATAGAGCACATTTAAAAGCCTTGGGCATACCAAAGTGCTTTACATAAAACAATAAAAAATAAAACAGTTCACACATTAACATCAAATACATAAAAGTAACGGATTATGTTCACAGATAAAAGCCACCAATAAGAGTAAACTGCAGCACATAGGTTATAGCAAGGTAAGACTGTACCACCATGATAAAAGACACCAATAATGGAAAGATAGCAGAGAATTTAATACAATACAATACAATAGGTCAATAGGTCACTGCAAGCAAGCCAGCATTTAACTGGTAGAAAAGGCAAGTTTAAAAAGATATGTTTTTAGCCGTGATTTAAAAGAATGAATAGAATCAGACGCCCGGATGCCAATCGGGAGATTGTTCCACAGCTCCGGTGCAACTAGAGCAAACGATCGATCACCTCTAGATTTCAGTCGAGATCTGGGCTGAACCAACAGTAACTGTGAGAATGACCTTAAAGCCCTAGCAGGAGCATATGGGTTTAAAAGTTCCTTAAGATAGCTTGGTGCAGTGTTATTGGTAATTTTAAAAGTAAACAACAAAATTTTAAATTGAATGCGATATTTGACAGGCAACCAGTGCAGATCAGCAAGGACAGGAGTGATGTGGGCAAACTTCTTGGTTTTAGTTAGAATGCGTGCTGCAGCATTCTGAACTGTCTGTAATCTATGTAAAAGGGAAGAGTGGAGACCACAATAAAGTGAATTGCAGTAATCAAGCCTTGACGTTACAAAGGCGTGGATGAGCTTTTCTAGGTCTTTATACGGGATATAGTGCCTGGTCTTAGAAATAAGGCGAAGCTGGTAAAAACTGGATCTGACAACAGCAGACACTTGTTTATCAAGTTTAAATGAGCTGTCAAATAAGACACCCAGATTCCTAACAGTGTCAGAGAAAGAACTAGTGAGAAAACCAAAGGCATCCCGAAGTTTGGCACGAAGGGCATTACTACCAAAAATCATAATTTCAGTTTTCTTATCATTAAGGATAAGAGTATTTGCCAAAAGCCATTTCTTGACCTCACACATGCATTCTCGAAAGCTATTCAAAGACAGAGCAAGATCATCGTTTAACTCAAAATAGATCTGGATATCATCCGCATAATAGTGAAAAGCAATGTGGTATTTCTCAAAGATAGCACTTAAGGGAAGCATGTACAATGAGAAAAGGGTAGGGCCTAACACAGATCCCTGGGGGACACCACAGCAAACAGGTACAGCCGAAGAAGAGGATGTGGCCAAATGTACCAAAGAGAGCCGATTGGAGAGGTAAGATTTAAACCAATCCAAGGCAGCGCCCTTAATGCCTACAGTTTGCTCTAGTCTCGCCAATAGGATGTTATGATCAACCATGTCAAATGCCGATGAAAGATCCAATAGCACTAGGACAGAGGGGCGTCCATTGTCAGCCATTAGTAAAAGATCATTGAAAACACGAAGCAGCGCTGATTCAGTGCTGTGATGTTGTTTGAAGGCCGATTGAAATTTATCATTTATAATAAGT